CCCGTCACATTTCAGAACCTCTCACGCTAACCCTTAGCAGCATGTTGTAACAAAGGCTGTAACATGCAGAAGGCTGAAATCATTAATAGGAGAGACCCCAAATCAATCCTAAAACAATTACAAATCAGGATTTTTATTTCTCTTTTTGAAATTGGGGTACCATTGCTTTATGACTTTGTATGTGCTACAGAGGCACCCGACCACCCTCCTCTAATGCATGTCACACCACGCCCACCACCGAGGTGCTCAAGTCCTCACCATCATCCACTGAACCCCCACTTTGTTTTCCCGCTCCCCCTCCCCCTCTGGAGTCTCAATCCCACAGTCAGATTGCTAAGGTTAATAAGCGATTTAATCAGGGTTGTTTGAGTCAGGAAGCATTAGATAATGGAATGCAAGAGAGGGAGGAAACTTAGTTGACTTTGCTTTCAACCTAAAGCCACATCTATTTACAAAACCCTTCCCACGGCTCCAGAAGTGAATGGACAGACACATTGTGACACCAAGAAGCAGAACCCCCAAGCCCTCACTGGCAGGATGTCCTTCTGAGGTCAACTCTTATTAATTTTATATTTGCAACATGGAGTTCTTTTCTTACAGAGGCCCTACTGAACTGTTTATGATTTAGGGTTGTTCAAATTTTCATTCATCTGTGCAGCACACATTTGCAGAAGTAGCCCTTCCTCATTTCTCCAAACATAAGCAAAAGCAAAGAGGAAAAAAATGACTACAGCATTTAAATGCATTTAGAGCTGGTTACCCAGGGACGCAGCTTGAACCCCTTCAAAGGCTTTTCACGCTATTTGGAATAAAACCCTGACTCCTAACTGTGGTTTACAAAGTCCTCTGTGATCTGGCTCCTTCTTCAATTCCAAGATATTCAATCCTCCCTCTGGCCCTCTCTAGAACTTTCTCCTGTAACATTATCCTCTTCATGGTTTCCCTGCTTTGCCAACCTCTCTCCTCTCTCGAGTCCTTTGCCTCCTATTTCTGCGATTGGGGCAGCTTCCTCCCCCTTTCACATTGCTGGCCCCATCAGCTTCGTGGTTCTAGGACCCTCACTGAGGACTGTGTAAACAAGCATGTTCTACGTCACCTCACCTCACTCCCACGCCCTTAGTTCTCTCTCACACACCACATAATTTCCTCTTGATCAGCCTTTCATAACATTGAATTATGGATTTCATTTTTGCTTGTTTAATAACTGTCTCCAGTGCCACCCCGCAATGGTGTCTGTTTTGTCCGCAGTATTTCAGCACCTGATTTGTAGTAGATGCTTCATAAAAATATGAGCGGACGATGGTCATGAGTCATATAACACAATTAATCTTCCCATGAGTAGAACTTGACACTTTCAGGCACAGACACCAATAATAACAGTAGTAACAGCTTTGGTGGAAATCTTTCCATGTCTTTTGAAATTGGCTATGTGAATACAATATAACATTTTTCTGGCAACTCAGAGCTATAATCATGAACAGCAAACATTGTGCCTTCTAGCAATGGAATGCTGTTCTCGAGATTATTAGACTTACAGGGTCATTTGTGATTTTGCTCATGTTCCTGGGCCTGCCCTGCTTTTTGAATTTTTATAGGTGCTTTCCTTGGTTTGTTTGCTTGTCGTTGACAGACTGTCAAACCAACTTCTTGAGCTTCTTGATAACTTCCTTAAGTAACTCACAACCTCATTCTGCTTTAATCTGTTTATGGACTAGAAACTCACATACCACCAGTTGCGGAGACATGTCAAGGGGGCAGGCTCCGCTAATGCCTGAAAGGGAGTTGAATGAGTAGAATCATATCTATTTTAGTCCCTGGACAGATCTTTGCTTACTTGCCTGCTAGTTACTGGGCATGCATGGAAGAGATTGCCAGGGAAGCCATTCCTGAAGAAGTAAAGTGTGTTGAATTATTAAGTGGATGACATGTTGCAGCTCCCGAAAAAACTCTCTTCTCAAAACTCTTCTCTCAATACTTCTGGTCCCCAAATGTGGGAGGGTTTTCCTCACCAAGCAGTTCTCTAATTCTCTGCAGGCACCAGCTGGGTGTCCTACAGCTCAATTCACATCTGACAACATCTAGCTGGAAATTGGGTTAGAAATCACAGGCTCACATCTCGGTCCCACGAATGACCCCCCGCTTCAGATGTCAGTTGCAAATCCACGTTGTCACCTGAGCTTCTCCCCATCGAGTTGTAAATCAGAGTTTCCCACAAACCCCTCTTGGGCTCAGGAATTTGCTAGAATGACTTGGAACTCAGGAAAACAGTTCACTTACTGGATTATCAGTTTATTTCAAAAATGATGCCACTCAGGAATTGCCAGATAAAAGAGATGTGAAGGACAGGGCTTAGTGGGAAGGAGCACAGAATTTCCACATCATCTCAAAGCCCACCACTCTCCCCAATCACCACATGGTCACCAACCCAGAAGCTGTCCAAATCCAGTATTTCTTATGGAGGATTCAAGACTGAGGCACAATCGACTAAATCATTGGCCAAAAGCGATGAATTCAACCCTCACAAAGGCCAAAGGTGGGTTCTCTAACCACAGACTGGCTCGGGTGGTAACCAGCCCCTCGCCTCCATTCTGTAGTTATTCAGGGACTTGGGAAAATCGTCTCATTAACATAAACTCAAGCATAGTTGAAAGGGGCTTGCTAGGAGAAACAAACTCGCTCCTCTCATCTTTATATCTCTGAACTCTCAGGACCCACCGAAGGACAAAAGACCAAGTATTATAACAAAAAATGCTCCCAGGCTCTTATCACTTTGGAAATTGCAATCATTTTGGAGCTCTGTGCCAGGGAGACTGAATATGTATTTCTCATCATAAATTGTGGTTTCACGCTCCCATACCCTTTTGAATTGTTTGCACATCCCTTCTAAAAGGGGCAAGGCAAACACAAACCTAAATGTAAATGCAAATGTTACATAGATTTTTAAAAAATGAATTCTTTGGGAGAGAAAAGAAAAATCAAAGAAAGGTCTAATGCAGTAGGAACATGAATTGGGAGCTAATATTTCAAAAAACTTGCCTGAAAATGTGAAATAATTTTAATCTAAAATGAAACCTGAGAATAAGAAATGAAGAATTTGAAGGGATTCTTCCCTTCAAGAAGGAAAGTTAACTGAAAGACTAGTTTCCCATAAATGCCTGCTTTCCAGAAGACAGATTTATCTCCTTACCAGAAAACATCCACCAAGACTCTCTTCCCCTTCTCAAGCCAGCTAACTTATTGCTCAGACCCTGTCCTGATCACTCCCTGTTTCTCTCCTCACACACAAACACAGCCCAACCTAGACCTTTAACAGGCTCCTGTGGCTTGCTATACTATGTATTTCCCAAATGGCAACACCTTGGCCACTCCAGTTTATAAACTTAATTTCCGGCCCATTCACTCTTGTCTCAGATCACTTCTTTATTTAGGTTGACAAAATTAATGGCAAGGATTAAAAGTGATGAGGAAATCAAGCAGCCAGGAGAAATGTCAGAAATGTAAAATTAAAGGTTTAAAAGTTTGTGGGAAAAGATTAGAATTTCTGGAATAAGAAATTTGAGATTTAAAATCCTCCTTTGCTTGTAAAAATTGGAGGATAAAAATGGATTCATTGGTTGATACCAGCCTTCTAGAAGTAAATAGCCTATTTAGGCTGAGTCTATTTTATATGACAACAGAACTTACGTTGGAGCATTATCAATATATTGCATAATAAACACTATAGTTTGTTGGAAATACTTGTGATGAATGTCATGTATTTGAACCCCCATTTCAAAAGTGAAAAAAAATGCCTCAACATAGGAGACTTTTTACATGTAAGGTAATAATCTGACACTGGCCAATAACCAAAGAAATTATTTGTTCCTCCAAGAAGACATTTTTCTGAGTTAGAAAAAAAAAAAAGGAGGTGAATTGGAAAGTAGATTGAAAATGGAGATATGAAGTCTATGACTTTGTTTGTTTAAGGATGATTCACCATGGGTTCTTCTAAATAGCTGATTATGAAGAGTGAGGAAAAGAATGCATTAAACCATAGGCATTTGAGCCCAGAGGCTCTCTGGGGAGCTCGTCTCCACTATTTGAACTATTTTATTACATAAACTAATAATACAAATGTTACTAATGTGAAGAGGTCCTAATGTTTGTTTCTCCAGCCTTTCTAGAATGCATTAACATCATTCTCTCGAGTGAAAATTCATCTGATACTAAGGCACATTCATATATTTTAAATGTTTTGATTGTATCTCACCTTATTTAAAAATGATTGAAGTATGTTGGTTATTTCCTTGTGACACTGGAAAAATGATTGAAGTAGCTTATAATAAATACTTATTCAACACAGAAGTTAGAAATGAAGTGAGAGAACTAATTCTAAGAAGTAGAAAACTAAGCTATTATCGAAAATGAAGGATGACATCAAAAATTAGGTTCAACTCTGAGCTATCTAGGAATAAAAGAAAACAAGGGTCCATGATAAACTTTACATTTCTTACCTGAACAAAAGAATATATTATATATTTAAGAGTTACTTATCTTCTAGGAAATACTTACTGTATGGATTATTTTACAAATGACCTTAGACAACACAGCAATCTACAAATGCCTATCGAGATTGATTTATATGTTCACTAAAAGCAGTAAATTATTTCTGCATAAGTATGATTATACATCACAAGCATGCTATACATACATGTGTGCCTATTTCTGAGTTACAGCATATACAGAGACATACACACTAATGTACATTGCAATGGACTAAAGTTGTGTGTCTTCCCAAAGTTCATATGTTGAAATCCTTAACCCTCACCATGATGATATTATGAGGTGGAACCATTGAGAGGTGATTAGGTCAGAAGGATGGAGCCCTCATAAATGTGATCAGTGCCCTTCTAAAAGAGACACCGAAAGAGCTCTCTTGTCCTCTGCCACGTGAGGATAGAAGAGGAGAATAGAATCCGCACCAGAACCTGACCACGTGAGCACCCACACTGCCATATTCCCACAAGGGCTTCTGGCGTGAGCAGCACACTCAAGCAGCTCAATTGCTCTTCACGTGGAATCAACATCAAGAGATTTTGGAAGCATAATGGTTTTTGGTATTTGACAAGCTGGTGATCATTTGTCCCAACATTCTTCCCTGTCCTCCAAAAAATAAAATCTTCCCACAATTTCCCCAAGTTCTTGGAATTAATCCAAAACCCTCACAATGCAGCCTACCAGGCTCTTTCTGATCAACTCTTGATTTCCTTTCCAATCTCACTATCATCCACTACCCCCCTTTCCAACTAGACATTGCCCCCTTTGCTTTCCATTAAACCAGAGGATGACAAATTATGCCCCACAGCTGAATCCAGTCTGTGGACCTCTTTTTGTAAGCACAGTTCTGTTGGATATTAGCCGCACACATTTGTTTTCCTATTGTCTATGGCTGTGCAGTGACAGAGCAGAGTAGTTATATCAGAGCGTGAACAGTCCTCAAAGACTGCATTTTGACGACACAGTTGTTTGCACAACCTCCACCTGGAACACATCAGAAATCAGCCTTCCACGAGGTTTTGCACTTGGTGTCTCCTCGGTTTCAAACAGTGTCTTCAGTCAACTTGTCTATCTCCCTTGCCACTTCATGCCTCTATTTAAATTTCCCCTTCCCAAAGGTCCACGGTGAGTATCCTATTTAGAACACAGCTCCTATCACTCCAGATTTTCACACTGATCTACTTCAAATCCACCTGATAGTTTGTGTCTCCATTTGTAACATGATCGAGACAGCTAGTTAGCCACCAAAGATGCATGCTCCCTGTCCAGTTTCTGGTAAGCAGCTGCCCAGTTCAGGATCCTATTTCACTGCCCTTTTGTTTCTAGGTAGGATCATTTGACTAGTTCTAACCAATGGGGTGTGAGCATTAGTGATGTGTGTACCTTTCAGGCAGAGAGGGTAAAACATCTGGAACACCATCTGCTCGTGCCCCCTCTCTCCCTCAGCAACTTTGGTGGTTGTATGTTCATGAGGACACCATCGCAGGACTGGCAGAGTTTGCAGATCAGATACATTTGCATTGGATTTTATTGTGTTTTGTAGTATGAATCTGCTGCCAACACATTCCCAGCTGGGTTGATTTGTCCTCTGCCAAATTAATGGTGGCTGACAAGCTAAACTACAAAGTAACCCCCACACTTTTGTCTCCTGGTGCATGCCTTCGTCTGGAAGAGGACAGTTTCAGATCCCTTCCTCTTGTGTTAGCCTTTCTATCCCACTTAGCTCCAAATAATAATTTCATCTGATGATCTATGTTTGCGAAAAGTAGAATAATCATCCAGGAAAACCCATACTCTTCGCAACACCAAGCCTAGACACCTACTGGCATGTGCACTATGTCCTTCTTGAAACTGTATTCTGATGTAACTGATTTATCCTATCCACATTGAAACTTGTCTATGAGCTCTGGACTCCATCCTTTTGCAAGGGTTTTTCTCCTTCAAATGTTTCTCTTTTCTGCATTATCAACATTTCTGTTTCTACTACATCATGTCCAGGAGCTTACAAGTAAGCTTTGGTATGTCTCAACCTAAAAAACAAGGCAAACAAAATCTCAAGTCTGTCTTAATACCTTAGTCTCCTCTAGCTACCTCTTTGTCCCCACTTTAGAGCAAGTCTTTCATAAAGAGCTGTTTATACACATTGCCTCTTCCCCGTTACCTTCTGTTTGTCCCATAATCCTTTCCAATTCAGTCTAATCCAGAAAACTCCACTGGAACCACTTTTATTGAGACACCAATAACTTCTACATGGTCAAATACAATGAGATTAATATGTCCTCATTTTTTATTCCATCTTTAAGATGACTACCTCTGCTTTCTTAAACTATAATTCTTGTCTTCTGGCATCTGACTTTATACTCTCTGATTGTCATCCACCTGTTTCTTCATTCCCTTCCTTGGCTTTTCTCTTACCTCATGACCTTTAAGTTTAGGGCTCTGGTCTCGGTCCTGTTTTCTGTTTTCTTTTCCATCCACATTCTCTATGTAGGAGCGCTCACTCACTCCTTGGTTTTGCATACCACCCATCTGTTAACAACTCTCAAACTTATATCCCTGTTTTAAACTTTTATTCTATATTCCACAGTTATCAATCCAAATGCATCTCAAACTCAATGTGGCTACACACACCCTAAATCCATCCCTTTCCCACCCACAGAGTTGCTCAAAGAAGAAATATGGACCCCTTTTATCTGGGATCCCTGGTCTTCTGTCTTGATTTAATGCCTGGATTTATAGGAATACATCCTTCAGTGACTTTTGGGAAAATGTGTGGGAAATTGAGAGACAATTATAAGAGTTCTCCTATTTGAACATATATTTATGTTTATGTCACATTGAATTGTGATTTCATGAGGCACAGATTTCTAGGATGCAAATCTTTCTTCCCAGAAATCTGAAGCAATGTCCCAGAGCCTTTGGCTCCCTGCCTTGCAGTTGAGAGACTGCATGTCTTTCTAAGTCCAGACCCTTGTATGGAACTTGTTTCTGTTGTTTTCTCTCTGGAAGCTTTTAGGATCGCCTCCTAATGTCCAAGTTTTTGAAATGTCATGATCACATGTGCCTAAGTAGGTCCTTTTCTAAGCATCATATTAGATATTAACTGGTCTTTTGTATCTGGAAATTCATATCCTTCGGTTGTGAAATTTTCTATATAAATCACTAACAATATTTCTCTCCATTTTCTTGTTCTCCTTTTAGGGGTTACCTAATATTTCAATGTTAGATTACAATCAGATATTAGATATGATATTCAGTTTCTTTACAATTCTCTCCTAATCTTCATTCCTGACTTGATCTACCTTCTACAATTCCTCAAGCTTATCCTTTAAATTTTCTATTGAATTGCTTTGATTTTGATTTTCTGTGAGCCTTAGTCCTTAATAAATGCTTTTTAAGACCCTTGTTTTTGTCTGATGTATATTGTCTTGTCTTTCCAATGATATTAATCTCTCTCTCTCTCTCTAACATTTTTTTGTGTGTGATCCCCTGCATTGTATTTTTCCCCCTGATTTCTTTTTTTCTGTTTATTATTTTGGTTCCTGTCATCAAATTGCAACCTTTCCTCTTGGTTAACTCTTCGTATTTAAAGGTCAACCACCAAATCCTTACTGGAAACTCCATGTGTGTGGTTTGGCAAATGACACGCCCCTGTAGGATGCCTGGCAGATGCCCAGGCCTCTCAGAGCCCTCAGCTCTTTCCCCTCCCGCCCACCAGATCCTGAGAGCAGAGCAGGGAATGAAGTCAGGGGAATCTCACAGTCAAAATGCAGACTGTCATTTCATCCTGTTTCCATGTAGCCTCAATCCCATCTTTGGCTGCCAACAGGCACATTCTTATCAGTCACAGTTTGTGTCTTAATTTGTCCTTAGAAAAACTTGGTCACTATCTGTGTGGATACTGTGATGTCAGGGTAGGCCCAGGAGATTTAGCATGGAGTTGAAGGGAAGACAAGCTCAAAGGGCATCTGGAGTCTGTGGCAATCCTATTTGGGGATGCACAAAGGTGCCAGAAAACACGGGGGCCCGGAAGATAAGGATGGCATGCAGGTAAGCAGGGGCCATTCAACCACCCATTTGCAATCAGCAGGTTAATGGATGTTAATTTCTCCCTATCTACTGCCATCTTGCTGTTTCCTGGGACACTGAAGCCACTGGGATGTTCAGCCTAACTCAGGGACTTTATCTTCAAGATTATGACCACACAGCTGCCTACAGAGTCTCCATCAGCTTGCTGGATGCAGTGCCCCACGTTTAGAAATTCTGCTTTCACCTTCAGGTTTCATTTATCCAGATAAGGTCACCAAAAAAAAGTATCATAAAGGCTGCCACCATTGTGAAATTGCATGGCAATTTTAAAAGGCCTAATAAACCTTGTGCAGTCGAACAAAAAAAAAAAAAAAAGGGATTTTTCCCACCCTCCTCCTATTTCTCTTGGAACATCAGCAAATTGAATTGCAAGGGAAATATAATGAAAAGATTTTAAGTTATCCTGCAGACATGAAGACATGGGAAGTTGGCTACAAAGTTACTTTTGAGTATTTTTGCTTATTCCCTGTTCTAACTCTGTCCAAAATTTCTCTCTGAAATAGGAAACTTTTCTTCCCTTTTCCTGCCCCTGCTCTCTATAAGTCTAGAGTTAGTTGGCCTTTTATTACTTCTCCTCTTCCCTCCCCGCCCCCTCAACTGCTTAGCAGCACTAGAGACCCATTCATCATTGCCTGAACTGTTAAAAAAAAATAAATAACACGGGTCCATAACAAAGAGCTTCTTACCACTGCCAAGACAAATTTTGATCAGTCGCAAAAAGCAATACGTATCCCAAGTGAACAGATCAGCAGTTCTAAAGAAAACTGAAATGCAGGACCCATTTGTATAGCCTCAGATACTCAACAGATACAAAAGGCAAAGGATATCTAGGAGCTATTAATTGAACCTCAAACTAGACTTCATATGGTATTTTAATAGGAAACACCACCAGCTGTTTTTTCTTTTTCTCCTTTTTTTTCATTTTTTTTTTCTCTCTCCTCCCAGTCTCGTCTGGATGGAAGGGAGGTGGGTGAAGAGGTGACACCAGCAATGATTATGTGGTAGAACCACAATCACATGCACTGTTGAAGTTGGGGTATGGGCTTCAGCTAGGCTATCCTGATTCTTTTCCCTCTTAGACTTGGAACATGGAAGATGTGGTATAAAGGTCAGTCTCTTTGTTCTGCATCTTAAGTATAATTTGGGGCCCTACAATCTGAAGAATATGTTACATTCTCATTACTAAAGCACTCCAATCAAGTCTTGTTTAAAAGACATGTAATGGGGTCAAACTCGAATTATCCACAGGGAGTTGAGTGCATGAACTGAGTTCATAAATGTTTAAAGGAGCCTAGCCTTGAGCTTTCCCAGAGAACAAGGGGAAGGGAAAGAGAATCAAATAAATTCCAGCTAGATAAGCTGTCTGGGTGAAGGACCAGAAGGGTGGGAGAGAGAGGAGGTAAAGAAAAGGACACCATAAAGCCAAGGAAGAAAGGAGCTCATTAAACTTGAGTTTGAAAGGAAATTGTACAAACAGTTAATAAAGAGAGATCAAAACAAGGGGGTATTT